GGGGCTTTCGGCGCGGAAAGTCAGGAGACAAAGATGTCAGCTTGCGAACACGACGGGTAGCCGCAAGAAGCGAGCCTCCACGCGCGTTCCCATGGTCATCGCTGGCAACAAATGCGACAGGGAACAACGGTGAGTGGGCCCGTCCGTCATGTCTGCTGTTTACCTGCCCAGCTGTTTGTCTACCTGCTTGTATTCCCACTGGTGTCTGTACCTTCAACCTTTATCTATCTACTTACCTACCTACCTGTATCTATCTACCTACGTACCTACCTACCTACCTGCCTTCCTGTACCTCTACCTATCGACTCTCTTTCCTGTGTCTACCGACTACCGACTACCGACTTGCATGCCTCCCTTTCTATATCGTCTCGCTTCTTCCGTTTATTTTCACTTAATCAGGTACCACCATAGAACCAAATACATTACCTGGATTTCTATTACTAAAAATAAACGTTAAACGTCTCTACCATAAATTATACCATGCTCCTAGTTCCCTGACATGGTTCCCATTATAAAAAAAAACTTTCGTAGACCCATAATGTGCTTAACGTAGAGGTTTCATAAAGTTTTAATACATTGTTTTTCTATATTTTTTAGCGGATCCTGGTTCGGTTCTTAAATGTTATCTTAAACTTTTAAGATAGTGGACCGGTTAGCCAGTGGAAAGCCTCGGTCATATGACCAAAAGCTCTAGTGGAGGGTCATCATATAACTCAAGACCAGCGTCATTTGCCCTATTTCCTGATGAATCTTACCCAACCTAGCCTAACCTAACCGGTTCGATTTCCCGCAGTTCTGAAAAATTACTACCGTTTATTACGGATTTTTCGACCCTCTATATCATGATGTGAAGAACCCTTGAGATGCCTATAACACAATATTTATTTCTCACTTGGTTAGTTGTGAGAGGTTTGTAGGTATCTGGGTCATTAAGTAGATTGAGCATTTTGTTCCTGTAATCGTCAGTGTTCATGATAACAACATCACCTCCTTTATCAGCGGTGGTGACCCTAATGGTCGTGTCTTCTGCTAAACCTTTGAGTGCATTGATGTAACGTCGAGGTATGACTGGGGAGCTGCGTGTTGAGATGGCTGCTGAGATGATGCCTTGAAGATAGCCTTTTTGGAAGTCGGAGTCATTGTGTCTGTAGTTTTTGGCGATGAAATTGAGGTCTTGTTTTGGTTTCGTAATTCCTGTTGCGAATTTGAGGCCTAAGCTCACCTAGAACATTCAAGTGTCTGTCCTAACATAATATTTCTCACCTCACCTAGAACATACTAGTGTCTGTCCTAACAATATTTCTCACCTCACCTAGAACATACAAGTGTCTGTCCTAACACAATATTTCTCACCTCACCTAGAACATACAAGTGTCTGTCCTAACACAATATTTCTCACCTCACCTAGAACATACAAGTGTCTGCCCTAACACAATATTTCTCACCTCACCTAGAACATACAAGTGTCTGCCCTAACACAATATTTCTCACCTCACCTAGAACATACAAGTGTCTGTCCTAACACAATATTTCTCACCTCACCTAGAATGTACAAGTGTCTGCCCTAACACAATATTTCTCACCTCACCTAGAACATACACACACAACCCTGACGTAGCATAAAATTCTTTGCTATAAATGTAACTTTCGATTTAGTAATAATGGTAGAATTACCGATAAATGTAACTAATTTTACTGTGGCAATGTTTCACTCTCCAGGAGCTTGTGTGTAATTTTACCTAACAACTTTCGATTTGTTTGCCCTCAGAATTTGTTAATGTAACCCGTTGGGATTATACAGCGCATGTTGGGGGGAGGGATGGAAGGCATCCAGGCTCAGTTCAGGGAATTGGAGAACAGATCCAGTTCCCTAGATCAAGAGCCCCTCACCAGCGTCAAGGAACCTCCCTTGAGGGGTTAAATTCCAATGGTTAGATCATCTTGTTTTTCTCCCGATCATATTCTCTTGTATCGTTCTCTTTCACATTCCTTCTGTATTTTTCCATGTATTCTTTGTATATTTCTCCGTATCATGAGCTGTGTCTCTCATGTTCTCCATGTGCCTCATGTTCTTCCTATGTCTCTCCTTATATTCTTCCTGTGTCTCTATACATCATGTTCTTCATGTATCCCTCCCTGTCACGTTCTTCCTATGTTTTTCCTGTGTCCCTCCCTGTCATGTTCTTCCTGTGTCCCTCCCTGTCACGTTCTTCCTATGTTTTTCCTGTGTCCCTCCCTGTCACGTTCTTCCTATGTTTTTCCTGTGTCCCTCCGTCATGTTTTTCCTGTGTCCCTCCCTGTCATGTTCTTCCTGTGTCCCTCCCTGTCATGTTCTTCCTGTGTCCCTCCCTGTCATGTTCTTCCTGTGTCCCTCCCTGTCATGTTCTTCCTGTGTCTCTCACTGTCATGTTCTTCCTGTGTCCCTCCCTGTCATGTTCTTCCTGTGTCCCTCCCTGTCATGTTCTTCCTGTGTCCCTCCCTGTCATGTTCTTCCTGTGTCCCTCCCTGTCATGTTCTTCCTGTGTCTCTCACTGTCATGTTCTTCCTGTGTCCCTCCCTGTCATGTTCTTCCTGTGTCCCTCCCTGTCATGTTCTTCCTGTGTCTCTCCCCGTCATGTTCTTCCTGTGTCCCTCCCTGTCATGTTCTTCCCGTGTCCCTCCCTGTCATGTTCTTCCCGTGTCCCTCCCTGTCATGTTCTTCCTGTGTCCCTCCCTGTCATGTTCTTCCTGTATATTTCCCTTTATATGCTCTTCCAACATCTTTCCTTATCACGTTCTCTATATCTTCCTATTACGTTCTCTCTCTGCTTCTCCCTATCATGTTCTTTCTCTGCTTCTCCCTATCATGTTCTTTCTCTGCTTCTCCCTATCATGTTCTTTCTCTGCTTCTCCCTATCATGTTATTTCTCTGCTTCTCCCTATCATGTTCTTTCTCTGCTTCTCCCTATCATGTTCTTTCTCTGCTTCTCCCTATCATGTTCTTTCTCTGCTTCTCCCTATCATGTTCTTTCTCTGCTTCTCCCTATCATGTTCTTTCTCTGCTTCTCCCTATCATGTTCTTTCTCTGCTTCTCCCTATCATGTTCTATCTCTCTCTACAGTATTCTCTCCACTATCCTCGATGGATCTTTCAAAGGGCTCCTTCACGCTAGTGAAGAGCTCATGATCCATGGAACGTGAGCTAACCTCTCTCCTTTAAATCCAACCTGGTTACCTCCCATTCCCCATGCACTGTATCACCCATGCGATTTTGGCGATTCCCACGAACATTTAATAATCATGAGATAGGTAGACTTCCAAAGATGGTCTCAGAGATCGAAATTTGTATTTCTCTCTCTCTCTCTCTCTCTCTCTCTCTCTCTCTCTCTCTCTCTCTCTCTCTCTCTCTCTCTCTCTCTCTCTCTCTCTCTCCCTAAAATGTTTGTCTCCACGAAGGCTTCCTCAGTTGAAATACCATCCAGAGAAACGTACAGTATTCTCGCCTCGGCCACTCTCTCGCTGGGCAAGGAAAAATGGGTCGAGCAGTCTTGTGTTCTCCTGGCACGATGCTTTTAACTTTCAACGCCGCTTAATGCCTTAGCACCGAGACTCGTCCTGTCTGGACCATTTTTGCTCACCTTCCTGTGCATTTGGTGCGTCTCTTCTGTCTTTACTGACAGTTCTGACCTTCTGTAAAAATCGTGTTCCAAAGGTGATCCCTGTCTGAGTTATTATATATATATATATATATTATATATATATATATATATATATATATATATATATATATTATATATATATATATATATATATATATATATATATATATTATATATATATATATATATATATATATATTATATATATATAAATATATAATATATATATACATATTATATGCAAGACAAGCCACGAGGGATGGAAATCTTCAGCTCAAGCTTGTCTTGCATTGTTAGGATCGTATGTCTCCGATTGTATCTCTCTCTCTCATTATATATAGTTATATATATATATATATATATATATATATATATTATATATATATATATATATATATATATATATATATATATATTTATATATTCTTTTTTATTAACACATCGGCCGTTTCCCACCATGATAGGTTGGCCCAAAATGAAACACTTTCACCATCACTCACTCCATCACTGTCTTGCCAGAATAAGTAAAACTTGCGATTCTGGCTTAAATAGCAACGCACTTCTTGCCGAATAGGTTAAAGTGAAAATTTGTATATGCAATAATTTTGCAAAAATCATTCTGAATCTAACGAAAAAAAATCTATTTCATTGTGTTGGTTTATTATTAAATTATTGTAAACTTATCTAACATATATTTAGTTGGATTAGGCTAAATTAAATTGCACTTGTTATAATAAGGTTAGGCAAGTTTTCTAAGGTTCTTTTGTTACAAAATTATAAATTTTTTACATTAACATAAATGAAAAAAAAAATATACATCTTTAAACGTATAAGAAAAAATTTTTAGAACGGACTTAATTTTAAATAAGTTCTTGGTAATTGACCAGTTTTACCCATTCATCACAATATATATATATATGGGGAGAGAGAGAGAGAGAGAGAGGAGGGGGAGAGGAGAGAGAGAGAGAGAGAGAGAGAGAGAGAGAGAAGAGAGAGAGAGAGAGAGAAGAGAGAGAGAGAGAGGAGAGGGAGGCAGAAAGCAACTTCACTCTGGCTGTACCCTTCTCCAGAACATCACTCCATCTGAGATCATACATACCCAGGATGACTCGAGTATGGAACACATTCGTACAGCATTATGATGTCAACGAGATAAAGTCAGTTGATCAAATGAAAATGCTGGCCCACAGATGGCTCCAACTTCATCCTGTTCCCTACTTGTATGTCTCATAACAATAAAAATGCTTTCAAATGAGCTGATGTAGGTAACAGCTCTTGGCTTGTCAATACAGTTAGGAATCCTTAACCTGTAAATAGCTTGTAAATAAAGCTAGGGATCCTTAACCTAACCTTGTCAAACCTGTGGAGAGAGAGAGAGAGAGAGAGAGAGAGGTGCGAGGAATCGAAGTGGTTGGGGAAGGGGCAAGAAATTACAAGCCCTTCTCTCCACCTGCTCTGTGATGGCATCTTTAATAAGTTCACAATCCCACCTCAAACAGAACTGGAAAATGCTGGCGAGAGCTTCCGCCTGCAGCCCCAGAGTGTGAGTCTAGAGTTACAGTCGGTTAGTGTGATATAAGTTCCTTGTTAAGCTAAGTCTTTACAAAGAACTCCTATCACACTATTAGAGTGTGGCTCTTGTCTCAGTTTTATTACAGATTTTCGGTTATGTAGAGAAGAATTGGAGACGAGTTTCTCTCTGGTTTTATTGTGGTGATGGGATGAGGACTCTGTAAAAAACTGCAGTTGAGGGTCGCAGTTGGTGGGCATTGCTAACATTTCCCAATCCTGTTTGTGGCAGGTTTAAGAACACGTTGTTGAAGTTGATATACCACAGTGGGTAGAACTGAAGGACATTAATGTCTGTCTTCCGGTTCGAACTCCTGCTGTCCATACAAATGTTACACACACACACACACACACACACACACCACACACACACACACACACACTTTCTATTTTATATAAACAATTTACCAGAAGGAATACAAAAAAAGGAATATGTTTGCAGACAATGCATTAATCTTGTATAAAATTTATCATGAAAATGACTGTAAATATTTACAGTAGGATCTGGATACACTGAGCACAAGCAGTGATAGATGAGAGAATTTAATGTACATAAATACAAAGAAAGGGAAATGGAAGAAAATAAAATTAGGCCACATGAAAAATATAGACTGTGTAAGTAGATATTGAAAGTATCAACACCTGAACTTCTTATAAAATGTTCAGGTGTTGTATGTTGACCGTGAAGTGTAATCTCGCCCTTATATGCCTTCCGCTAATCTTTTATTTTTATAGTTCCTCGATAATGTGAGAAATAACGAAACCCCTTGGAAATTCATTGTTCTTTTCAGAGTGGTTGCTTTGCCTATATGCATACACATATATGTATGTATTATTGAAGACGAGACACCACGAGCATAACTACTTCTGTGGCTACAAATGCGAAATTACAAAAAAAGATAATTACACACTTGCACTTTTTCTTTTCTCTCTCACAGTGGTGTGACGTTAGAGGAGGTACAGAGCTTCGTCTCCTCGCTGAGCTGCTGCGCCTACGTGGAAACTTCAGCTAAGAAGGACAGCAACGTGGACAAGCTCTTCTACGAGCTCTTCGTCTTAGCAAACCTACCTATGGAGATGTCGCCAGCACTCCACAAGCGAGTGTGTCCCGGCCAGACGACGTGAGTATTTCTGTTGAGTCTCAGCTACTGTTCCAGCCTCTTAGCTTACAATGTTGAGTCTCAGCTACTGTTCCAGCCTCTTAGCTTACAATGTTGAGTCTCAGCTACTGTTCCAGCCTCTTAGCTTACAATGTTGAGTCTCAGCTACTGTTCCAGCCTCTTAGCTTACAATGCTGAGTCTCAGCTACTGTTCCAGTCTCTTAGCTTACAATGCTGAGTCTCAGCTACTGTTCCAGCTTCTTACCTTGCAATGTTGAGTCTCAGCTACTGTTCCAGCCTCTTAGCTTACAATGTTGAGTCTCAGCTACTGTTCCAGCCTCTTAGCTTACAATGTTGAGTCTCAGCTACTGTTCCAGCCTCTTAGCTTACAATGCTGAGTCTCAGCTACTGCCCCAGTCTCTTAGCTTACAATGTTGAGTCTCAGCTACTGTTCCAGCCTCTTAGCTTACAATCTAAGTCGAATCTCAGCTCCTGGCCCATTCTCATTTCCTAGCCCCGAGTCTCATTTCCTTGCCCCGCCGCACCCATCCACAGTCGACTGGAATTGTTGGTTCTTGTTTTCTTGCACCCCATCGTAGTCTCTTGAGAATATGTAAGAAGCTTTTGCTTCCTCTCTCTTCCTCTTCCTATCTCCTTCAGTGTTTGTCCCACCATCGAACTTAAGATTAATTTGGTAGCATCCTTCTGGTTCGTGCGAGTGTTCAGTCTCCACCAGTCCCAGCATTCCAGTACCTCGATAAGCCTTCTCGTGCTTCGCTATTAAAGCGTCTAAATCTTAAGATGATGTTTCGCTTTGACTCAGTTTGTTACCTAGTGGCAGGAGGATAATGATCCGGGACGGAGATAACTGTTGCCTGTTAGTTATCTTCGAGTTTTAAGTTAGCTGGTGGTTATTCTCGTCCAAGTGCTGTTACTCTTCCTTTTTCATCCTTTTGCCCTATCTTCTTCACACGTGGTTTTTGTGTTCAATCCACTCATCCATCTGTCAACTCGTGCATCCATCTGTCAACCTGCCCACCTATCTGTCAACCCACCCACCCATCCGTCAACACATCCACCCATCCCGTCAACACATCCACCCATCCCATCAACCCACCCACCCATCTGTCAACCCACCGATCTATCAGTCAATCCACTCATCCGTCAACCCATCTGTCCATCAGAATCCATCAGCCCACCCACCCATGCACAATTCAGTCCACCACTTCACAAGCCCACCCATCCCCTACAAAATCACCCACCCACAAACTACTCCACTCAGTATCCAACCCACTTCGCCGCACCCTTATTTTTGCACTCTTAAGCACTCTTGAAAGTCTTTAAAATGGTTTCCTCTGGAATATGGAGGAGAATTTTAGGCAGGTCAGAACCTTAGCTCGGTCAATATTGACTTTTCTTCCAGGAATTTTCAAAATAAACTTTGTTTTTGTCTGACATCCTCAGCTCTTAGTGGTGAGATGCTTGGTAAAGTTGTATTAGTAGGTGATCTCTTTCTCTCTTTCTCTCTCTCTCTCTCTCTCTCTTCTCTCTCTCCCCTCTAGTATTTACACAAATCCTATTCGATTTTTTCTCTTGTCGTAACACGTAAAATAATTGACTCTTGCAGTACTACGATAACTGACATTAATTTCTATTTCGAGTATTAATGTAATTACCTCCTGGAAATCATCAAAACATATAATTGTCACTAATTCCATTTTCGATTTGGAAATAAGGAAGAGACTGTCTGGAGGTCAAAGAAGAATGAACTTAACGTGTAAGGTTGTCCTCGTGCCGGACCATCATGAAGAATTAGACACATGTGCAACATCTGATATCTTTAGTAGACGTTTTGCTATCCAGTGGCTTTATCAGTACAGTACAAGGACATAATATGAAGACTAGACCTATGTATATTATTATTATAATCAAAAAGAAGCGCTAAGCCACAAGGGCTATACAGCGACCTATGGATAAAGATGAGGTAATTAGTCGTTAGTCTTGAAGAAACGTCAAGATTCTTCAAGACTAAGGTGCTCTTCACCAACTCCAAGGCTGAGGGACTGATTACCTCATCTTTTATAAATGCCTCTACAGTCTTCTTTTTATGGCCTTGTATAGTAATGATAAAGCTACTGGATAGTGAAACGTCTACAAATAAAGATACCCAGATGTTGCACATGTGTCTAAATTGATCTTGTCGGTATTGTGTACCATTCGTGTACGTCTAGTTCATCAAATGATGGACTGATCACATCAACTCCAGGCTGAGGGACTGATTGCCTCAAACTCCTGCAGATCTTCAACCATTCTTCTCTGTATTGGACTGAGGAAACCACTGCTTGGAGAACCTTTTCCACAATAAAGATACCCAAGTGTTGTATAGGCGTCAAATTCCTCACTAGACAAGGAGTTAAGGCAGGGGTCGGGAACCGAGGTAACTTACCCCCCCCCCCCCCCAAAAAAAAAAAAAAAAAATGGGGTAAAAATTAAAATTTCGGGGGTAATGAAGGCTCAATATGTAAATAAAATTGCACAAAAATTTATTATTTAATAATGTATATTTATATTTCACATTTTATTAGAATTTATGACTCCATTTACAGATATTTGAAACTTCTCATATAATAGTATGTATGAATGTTTTGCGGTTTTCTATTAATTTTCAAGTCTAGTGGATAATTTCACTACACAAATTTGTTTTGAGGTGATACCTATAAAAGTTCGCCGACCCTGAGTTCAGGGGTTACTTATCCACCTGGTGATGGTACCCAGGGTCATCGCCCCTGTGGCCCGGTCCCGCAGGAATAAAAGAACTTGTATAGCTAATATCTATCTTGTTCCTAGTTTTGACATCTAGGAGGGTACTGGGTAGCGTGTGGGTCTCTAGTGATCAGCGGACGGAGGATCGAGTCTCCGCTGCTCCCTATGTTGAATGGCCCCTCGTTCAAAATTTGTTCCTCGGCTTTTCTCCTCTCTTCACCTGGATGTATTCCATCACTCTAACATTATTGTCTAATATCGCTTTCTCTTTCGCTTCCTCTTCCTTCACCTGTATTACACTTCCACACACCTATGTGTACCTCTACACACCCAGGTGTACCTCTCCACACTTGTGTGTAATTCTTCACATATATGTGTATGTGTGCCTCTCACACCTATGTGTATATGTGCCTCCACACACCAATGTGTACCTCCACACATGTTGTCTAGTGGGTGGTGAAAAAAAAGGACAAATGCAAAGAGAAAGTTTATTGAGTCGTCTCGCGTGTAGACAGCGTCGTCTTTAGTGTGTCCACAGACGTAAAGTCTGTTAAGATCGTCTCCGCAACGGTGTTTGTTTCTCCACTTGTCGACTTTACGTCATTTGTCTCCAACCTGTACCTTCCCACACCTGTGTGTTCCTCTCCACACCTGTCCGCGCCTCCCCCAAACACACGTGTGCACATCTCGGTCACAAATTCAGTACTTGTATTTTCCACATCTCTCTCTCTCTCTCTCTCTCTCTCTCTCTCAGTGTCTGCCTGTATGAAAGGTAATCTCAGAAAACCTTTGACCAACGCTCCTTCCTAGCAGCTGTTTTTCTCATCTTTTAGACATCGTTCCTGTTTGTCAGGGCTGAGTTGGAAAGGTCGAGGGAGGAGAGTGTTGTGTTCGCATTTCTCAGCAAATGAGAAAGAAGCAAGAAAAGTTTAGGTTGGTTGGGTGGACAAAACGTTTGGTTGTTTTGGGAAAGTTCATGAGACAATTATTGCGCGCGCGTGTGTGTGTGTGTGTGTGTGTGTGTGTGTGTGTGTGTGTGTAGGTGTATGTACTCACCTAATTGTGGTTGCAGGGGTCGAGACTCAGCTCCTGGCCCCGCCTATGTATAGATGTGTGTGTGTGTGTAGATGTGTGTGTGTGTGTGTGTGTGTTAGTTGTGTGTGTGTGTGTGTGTGTGTGTGTGTGTGTGTGTGTGTGTGTACTCACCTAGTTGAGGTTGCAGGGGTAGAGTCATAGCTCCTGGCCCCGCCTCTTCACTGGTCGCTACTAGGTCACTCTCCGTGAACCTTGAGCTTGATCATACCTTTGCCTAAAGCTATGTATGGATCCTGCTTCCACTACATCGCTTCCCAAACTATTCCACTTCCTGACTACTCTGTGGCTGAAGAAATACTTCCTAACATCCCTGTGATTCAGCTGTGTATTCAACTTCCAACTGTGTCCCCTTGTTACTGTGTCCAATCTCTGGAACATCCTGTCTTTGTCCACCTTGTCAATTCCTCTCAGTATTTTGTATGTTGTTATCATGTCCCCCCTATCTCTCCTGTCCTCCAGTGTCGTCAGGTTGATTTCCCTTAACCTCTCCTCGTAGGGCATACCTCTTAGCTCTGGGACTAGTCTTGTTGCAAACCTTTGCACTTTCTCTAGTTTCTTTACGTGCTTGGCTAGGTGTGGGTTCCAAACTGGTGCCGCATACTCCAATATGGGCCTAATGTAAACAGTGTACAGGGTCCTGAACGATTCCTTATTAAGATGCCGGAATGCTGTTCTGAGGTTCGCTAGGCGCCCATATGCTGCAGCAGTTATTTGGTTGATGTGCGCCTCAGGAGATGTACCTGGTGTTATACTCACCCCAAGATCTTTTTCCTTGAGTGAAGTTTGTAGTCTCTGACCCCTAGACTGTACTCCGTCTGCGGTATTCTTTGCCTTTCCCCAATCTTCATGACTTTGCACTTGATGGGGTTGAACTCCAGGAGCCAGTTGCTGGACCAGGTCTGCATCCTGTCCAGATCCCTTTGTAGTTCTGCCTGGCCTTCGTCCGAATGAATTCTTCTCATCAACTTCACTTCATCTGCAAACAGGGACACATCGGAGTCTATTCCTTCAGTCATGTCGTTCACAAATACCAGAAACAGCACTGGTCCTAGGACTGACCCCTGTGGGATCCCACTCATCACATGTGCCCACTCTGACACTCGCCACGTACCATGACTCGCTGCTGTCTTCCTGAGAAGTATTCCCTGATCCATTGTAGTGCCTTCCCTGTTATCCCTGCTTGGTCCTCCAGTTTTTGCACTAATCTCTTGTGTGGAACTGTGTCAAATGCCTTCTTACAGTTCAAGAAAATGCAATCTACCCACCCCTCTCTCTCTTGTCTTACTGCTGTCACCCTGTCATACAACTCCAGTAGGTTTGTGACACAGAATTTCCCGTCCCTGAAACCATGTTGGCTGCTGTTGATGAAATCATTCCTTTCTAGATGTTCCACCACTCTTCTCCTGATAATCTTCTCCATGTGCGTAGATGTGGTTGCAGGGGTCGAGACTCAGCTCCTGGCCCCGCCTCTTCACTGACCGCTACTGGGTCCTCTCTCTCTCTGCTCCATGAGCTTTATCATACCTCGTCTTAAAACTATGTAAGGTTCCTGCCTCCACTACATCGCTTGCCAGACTATTCCACTTCCTAACAACTCTGTGGCTGAAGATATACTTCCTAACATACCTTTGACTCATTTGAGTCTTCAGCTTCCAATTGTGACCCATTGTTTCTGTGTCCCATCTCTGGAACATCCTGTCTCTGTCCACCTTGTCTATTCCACGCAGTATTTTGCATGTCGTTATCATGTCTTCCCTGACCCTCCTGTCCTCCAGTGTCTTCAGACCGATTTCCCTTAACCTTCGTAGGATATTCCCCTTAGGTGTGGAACCATCCTTGTTGCAAACCTTTGCATTTTCTCTAATTCCTTGACGTGTTACCTAGGTGTGGATTCCAAACTGGTGCTGCGTACTCCAGTATGGGCCTAACGTACACAGGTACGTTAGGTACCGGAACACTATTCTCAGGTTTGCCAGGCGCCCATATGCCGCAGCAGTTATCTGGTTAATGTGTGCTTCTGGCTACGTACTCGATATTATACTCACCCCTAGATCTTTCTCCTTGAGTGAGGTTTGCAGTCTTTGGCCGCCTAGTCTATACTCTTTATGCGGTCTTCTTTGCCCTTCTTCGAGCTTCATGATTTTGCATTTGGCGGGGTTAAATTCTAGGAGCCAGTTGCTGGACCACGCGTCCAGCCTGTCCAGGTTTCTTTGTAGACCTGTCTGGTCCGCATCTGATTTAATTCTCATTAACTTCACATCATTTGCAAACAGGGGCATTTCTGAGCCTATCCCTTCCGTCATGTCGTTCACATATACCAAGAATAGCACTAGTCCCAGGACTGACCCCTTTGGGACCCCGCCCACTGTGATACCTCATCACGGACCATGACTTCCTGTTGCCTCTCTGTTAGGTATTCTCTGATCCATTGCAGTGCCCTTCCTGTTATATGTGCCTGATCCTCTAGCTTCTGTACTGATCTCTTGTGAGGAACTGTGTCGAAGGCCTTCTTGCAGTCCAAATACAATCAACCCACCCCTCCCTCTCATGTCTTACTTCAGTTACCTTGTCATAAAACTCTAGTAGGTTTGTGACACAGGATTTGCCTTCCATGAATCTGTGCTGGCTGTCGTTTATAATCTTGTTCCGCTCCAGGTGCTCCACCACTCTCCTCCTGATAATCTTCTCCATGACTTTGCATACTATACAAGTCAGTGGCACTGGTCTGTAGTTTAGTGCTTCATTTCTGTCTCCTTTCTTAAGGATGGGGACTACATTTGCCATTTTCCATACCTCAGGTAGTTGCCCAGTTTCAAAGGATGTGTTGAAGTGTGTGTATGTGTGTGTGTGTGTGTGTGTATGTGTAGGTGTGTGTGTGTGTGTGTAGGTGTGCGTGTGTGTAGGTGTGTGTGTGTGTAGGTGTGTGTGTGTGTAGGTGTGTGTGTGTGTAGGTGTGTGTGTGTGTGTAGGTGTGTGTGTGTGTAGGTGTGTGTGTGTAGGTGTGTGTGTGTAGGTGTGTGTGTGTAGGTGTGTGTGTGTGTAGGTGTGTGTGTGTGTGTAGGTGTGTGTGCAGGTGTGTGTGTGTGCAGGTGTGTGTGCAGGTGTGTGTGTAGGTGTGTGTGTGTGTAGGTGTGTGTAGGTGTGTGTGTAGGTGTGTGTGTAGGTGTGTGTGTAGGTGTGTGTGTGTGTGTGTGTGTAGGTGTGTGTGTGTACGTGTGTGTGTGTAGGTGTGTGTGTGTAGGCGTGCGTGTAGGTGTGTGTGTAGGTGTGTGTGTGTAGGTGTGTGTGTGTAGGTGTGTGTGTGTAGGTGGTGTGTGTGTGTAGGTGTGTGTGTGTAGGTGTGTGTGTGTAGGTGTGTGTGTGTAGATGTGTGTGTGTAGGTGTGTGTGTGTAGGTGTGTGTGTGTAGGTGTGTGTGTGTAGGTGTGTGTGTGTAGGTGTGTGTGGTGTAGGTGTGTGTGTGTGTAGGTGTGTGTGTGTAGGTGTGTGTGTGTAGGTGTGTGTGTAGGTGTGTGTGTAGGTGTGTGTGTAGGTGTGTGTGTATGTGTGTGTAGGTGTGTGTAGGTGTGTGTAGGTGTGTGTGTGTGTAGGTGTGTGTGTGTGTAGGTGTGTGTGAATAGGTGTGTTTGTGTGTATGTGTGTGTGTGTGTAGGCGTGTGTGTGTGTGTGTACTCACCTAGTTGTGGTTGCAGGGGTCGAGTCCCAGCTCCTGGCCCCGCCTCTTCACTGGTCGCTATGTGTGTGTGTGTGTGTGTATGTGTGTAGGTGTATGTGTGTATATGTATGTGTGTAGGCGTATGCAGGTATGTATTGGTGTGTTTACGTGTGGGTTGGTGGTGTTCATGTTGACTATAGGATGTGTTGATTTCTGTGTTTTTTTTTTTTACCGCTCTGGTAGAGACGCAGATCGTGAACAAGAGTTTACTTAAGCACCAGCGCTGCATTTACAAAAACAGACTTGTTACTGAGCTAGCCATTAGTATGCGAGACTAGCAACACACAGGCTAAATTTTGCTCGCATGCACCTAACTTTTACAGCGAGAAAATCCATGTTCCTTGTTAACTAGAGTATCCTATAAATGCCTCAATTAGTGGTTTTGCGTGTCCCGTTGCTCAGTTGGTAGTGCATTCAGCTCACACACCGTGGTCCATGGTTGGATCCCCGGTAAGTGTGGAAACATTGGTGGCTTGTTTCCTTAAGACACCTGCTATTCCTGTTCACTAAGCAATAAATAGATACCTGGGTGTTAGTCGACTGGTGTGGGTCGCAACCTGGGGACAAAATTTACCTAATTTTCCCGAAATGTTCTGCATAACCAGAGGCTTTCTATATAGTATGTCACTGATGTCAACTATGGTCTGTATACGTTGTACTTGTAGAAATAAGGATAATTATTATTATTATTATTATTCCGCAGGCAGGAGTGCGGCAGCAGTAGTGGTTCTCGGCACCGAGGCCTCTCCATCCGCAGGCGGCTGAGTGAGGCTTACGGCATGGTTGCTCCTAACGTCCGTCGGCCTTCTATCCGCACTGATCTCCTCATCCTGCGAGCCAAGACAAGCCTCCACCTCAACGGCATCGACAACTTCTCGGAGAAGAAGCCGCGGCGGGAGGTATCTTGTGTCATCCAGTGAGGCTTCTACGAGTCTTTGACTGGGGCTCTAGGATATCCTTAACGAAGGCATTAGGTTCTTGCTCTAAGAAAAAGAGCCTAAGATGTCCTTCGTAGAGGTATTTCAGGGATCTTGGATGTCTCTAAAGCTCTCCTGATATGCTCTAGGACTGTCTTCCAGGTGGCAGTGGCCTGTCGACAGTTGTGACTTGGGGTGACGGAATTTTTTTTTTTTTTTTTGGTCATTCTCTGGGTCCTGTTTCTATAAAAATGAAATAACGCTAGAATAAAGACCAGCTGAAACAGTCTTGATTCAAGTTGACTATTTGTAAAATAGTGCTTTTGGTAGCGAGAAAAAAAAGATAAAACTTATTAAAAATAACACCAGAGTAGATCGTTTAAACCATAATACTTAACACAGATTAAACCAAAGAATACGTTTTTTCCTCTTGTTGTATGAATGGCAGATGAATCTATATTTATTAATTTTTTTGCTAAGTGTAATGTATTGTCAATAGTTAAATAATATAACATGTCTCTAAACAAGCCTGGCTGGCTAGGCTCCATAATTATATATATATATATATATATATATATATATATATATATATATATATATATAATATATATATATATATATATATATATATATATATATATATATATATATATATATATATATATATAAACACCCTTCAGAGTAAAGTTTTCAGAATCATTTGGGATCCATTATCCGGCCAAAATAGGAGAAAAGTGGAAAACAACGCAAGGGTCTTCGATGTAACTATTACATCCAGGCATTATAATGTCATTTATGTAATTGCAGAATTTTATCTTCCAGTTTTCATAAAAATTACACTCATCACTAATACACCTGCTTATCTATATAAACCTATCTGTGGAACTTGCCATACGAACGCCAGATGGAGAACTTTGTTCTTTTCAAACAGCAACTGAGAGCGTCACACTCGCCTGTCTTCACAGGCCAAGACCTTAGGAAAGATCGGTTTTATCACCCACTTGTTCCTTTTTTCACATTAGAGAATTATATTGGGAACTGAAGTATCCCCAGCAACCTCGAGGTCAGCGCCGCGCGTTTGATAACAAATGGTACTTGTTTTCCTTCTCGACCGTCGCTGCCTGCCCAGACACAGTCGTGACACGCTGTATTTACAAGACATACGAATTTGAGCACACCGAGCAGCTGGGTTAAGCCCTGGCACGTTCTCTCCACCTTAGGACACTCCTCTCACAAAATCTATTTCTTTACCCCGTCTTCCAAACTCAATCTCCCTTAAGTCAATGTGACCTGACCTGACTAGGTTGGGTGCATTGGCTTAAGCCGGTAGGGACTTGGACCTGCCTCGCATGGGCCAGTAGGCCTTCTGCAGTGTTCCTTCGTTCTTATGTTCTTCTTATGTTCTTAAGAGTCTTTTCTCGATACAAAATGGAGAAATTAGTAATTCTACATATTATGTATAACCAGTCAGCAAAATAGGCATGTCTTAGCCACAAAATTCTTGAGACCAAAGATAAACTAAAGCGAGAGTAGAATAATATAGTTGCATATAAAGCCATAAAAAAAAACCTTGCACAGAAAAAAGAAAAAAATAAGAAATGATCACGGACAACACCAGACAATTTACCATCGTCTCTCTAAAACATCAGAGACGTGTTGACAGAACCTTGGTAAATAGTACACGTCAGCAAGTGACTTACGAGAACCTAATTTTTCACTAATGAACCCGCATGTTAACATCCTGAAACCTATGTATTTTATTACCCTTTAAAAAGAACCATTGCGTTAAATAAAATCCTTAACAGGAGTAATTAATGATGATATTTATAACAGCCTAAATTATTATTATAATCAAAAAGAAGCGCTAAGCCACAAGGACTATACAGCATAACAGCCTAAAATTGGGTTAGATCTAATACACAATCTACATTTATATGGTAATAAGAGGCATTTTTCAAATCATAAATAACAATAGTAATCATACAACTGTCCAGTTTGAATAATACAATGCCCACATTTAAACATATAACTTCAAAATACCAAGTATATATATTATTGAGCTTCTGTGTTGGGTGTTGCCGCAATAATTAAATATCACCGTTTCCCAGACTGCCTGGATATCCTGCTTACAGGCAAGACTTCTAGTTTGTTTTTTTCAGAGGACGGATCCCTAGCTATTCTGAAAAGTTTTAAAACCTATTTTCCACATTTTAGGAGGTCGTTTCGATAATAAATTTTCACGAGACTGGTGAATTTATATATATATATATATATATATATTATATATATATATATATATATATATATATATATATATATATATATATATATATAATATGGTGTGTGTGTGTGTGTGTGTGTGTGTCGTGCCGAATAGGTAAAATTGGTCAGTTAGCAAGAACTCATTTAAAATTAAGTCCTTTCTAAAAAATTTCTCTTGTACGTTTGAGGATATATTTTTTTATTTTTGGTAATGTAAAAATTAATAATTTTGCACCAAGAGAACCTTAAAAAACTTACCTGACCTTATTATAACAAGCGCAATTTAATTAAGCCTAATCCAGTTTAATATATTTCAGATAAGTTTACAATAATATAATAATAAACAAACACAATGAAATATACAATTTTTTGTTAGGTTCAGAATGATTTTTGCGAAATTATTGCATACACAAGTTTGCGCTTGCCTTATTCGGCAAGAAGAGCGTTGCTATTTAAGCCAAAATCACAAGTTTTACATATTCGGAACGACATTATATTATATATATATATATATATATATATATATATATATATATATTATATATATATATATATATATATATATATATATATATATATATATATATATATTATATTATGCAAACATCGCGAACAAGCGATACAAGATGAAAAACAAGAACGGGGAAGAAATTGAAAGATAGTTCTAGGCTTTGCATTTCGTGTTGCAATCAAGACATCGTCCGGAGCTTGCAATGTTGTAGAAAAGATGTGGTGGTTCAGATACGATCACAGGAAACGCCTTCCTGTGATCGTATTTGCTTGGACATCATTCTCTTTTCTGCAACATTGCAAGCTCCTGATGTCTTGATTGCAGCGCGAAAGGCCTAGAGCTATCTTTTAACTTCCCCCCCGTGGTTGTTTTACACGCACTCACACATATATATGTCGTGCCGAATAGGTAAAACTTGCTATTTTGGCTTGAATAGCGACGCTCATTTTTGCCGAATAAAGGAAGCAAAAATTTGTGTATGCAATTATAATCATGGGGGAGCGCTAAATCCGTAGGGATTATGCAGCTTCTGTGGGGTGGATGGGAGGTATTCAGACTCAATTCAAAGAACTGGAGTACAGATCCAATTCCCTAGATCAAGAGCCCCTCACCAACGTCAAGGAACCTTCCCTGAGGGTAAATGTATATACAATAATTTCGCAAAAATCATTCTGAACCCAACGAGATATATATATATATATATATATATATATATATATATATATATATATATATATATATATATATATATATATATATTATAGGTAGTAGGTTGGTAGACAGCAACCGCCCAGGGAGGTACTACCGTCCTGCCAAGTGAGTGTAAAACGAAAGCCTGTTTTACATGATGGTAGGATTGCTGGTGTCCTTTTTTCTGTCTCATAAACATGCAAGATTTCACGTACGTCTTGCTACTTCTACTTACACTTAGGTCACACTACACGTACATGTACAAGCATATATATACATACCCCTCTGGGTTTTCATATATCTTCTTTCTAGTTCTTGTTCTTGTCTATTTCCTCTTATCTCCATGGGGAAGTGGAACAGAATTCTTCCTCCGTAAGCCATGCGTGTTGTAAGAGGCGACTAAAATGCCGGGAGCAAGGGGCTAGTAACCCCTTCTCCTGTATATATTACTAAATGTGAAAGGAGAAACTTTTGTTTTTCCTTTTGGGCCACCCCGCCTCGGTGGGATACGGCCGGTGTGTTGAAAGAAAGAATATATATATATATATATATATATATATATATATATATATATATATATATATATATATATATATATATATATATATATATATTTATATATATATATATATATATATATATATATATATATATATATATATATATATATATATATCATTGTGTTTGTTTATTATTAAATTATTGTAAACTTATCTAAAACATATTTAGTTGCATTAGGCTAAATTAAATTGTGCTTGTTATAATAACGTTATGTAAGTTCTCTCAAGGTTATTAATTTTTACATTAACATAAATGAAAAAAATATATCTTTAAATGTATAAGAGAAAATTTTAGAAAGTATTTTAAATGAGTTCTTGCTAATTGATCAATTTTTCCTATTTGGCACGATAATATATATATATATAAAGAGTGTGTGTTCTTTATAATATGTACTGTACATTTATATATATTTGTGTTTCATAGGAACTACATAGTTATGTTCCCGAGGGCCCATAAAACTCTTCCACAGTTAGTGCACATTAATATTTTTCTCCACTATCACCTCAATGATGTGTTATATGTAATTTACAAGGTACAATGTAATTGGGCTGTAGGTAAGACCGCACTAACAAGTTCATGTACATGGGAGTACATGGGAGTACATGGGAGTACATGGGAAAGACAAATAGAAGAGGACTTGGTAGTCCACACCGAGTCTATTTGCTGAGAATTATTTTTACCTAGATTAGGTAGTGGCTCTTCTCTGAGCACCTAGGTGGCACTGAATGACACAAGGGCACAGCAGTGGACTCGAATGGTGACAGAATTACAGCAGTGTTTCAAGACACGTCAGTGCCAGATTAGCACATTTTTTCCGATAATGTTAACATGTAAATTATATATATATATATATATATATATATATATATATATATATATATATATATATATATATATATATATATATATATATATATATATATATATTATATATATATATTGAAAAAGTAGAAAATCCATTTCTTTTCAACGGATTTTGAGATGCTGAAACCGAATATTTCTTCAATTATTAAGTATCTCAGACGGGTGACCCTTCAAGTGGTTACCTGATGTTTTGTTTCCTTCCTCGTATTTCCGATTTTAGTTCGCTCATAACTCGAAAGTCTCTTATCCGATCGGATTCAAATTTTCAGTGCTTCAGTGCTATAACGAAAAGCAGATCCTACGAACATCCGACATGTGCAGATGCCCTACAACCCCAGTTATCGCCCACATTCCCAGCATCCTGGAACGGCTTGGATAGCTTCTAAAACCCTAAGCCTCAAACATTAACAAAATAATGTTCCTCCTAATTCACTGGCATCGGAAAGCGAAATTCAAATGTAGATTTTACCATCTCAAAATGTAAAATTATGTAAAATTATTATTTCCGCTCAGTTATCACGATCAAGATAAATGCATGTTCTTCTGAATGGTCTCGGGATTTAATGGCTGATGCAGCTTACCGCTAGGCGAGTGCCTATTCAGATGAGTTTGCGTGTAGGCAAATTTGTCGATGCAATAAATATTTTTTA